TTTTTAATATTTATTTTTTAGTTCTCGGCGGACACAACATCTTTGTTGGTATGTGGTGCTGAGGATCGAACCCGGGCCGCATGCATGCCAGGCGAGCGTGCTACCACTTGAGCCACATCCCCAGCCCCAAAATGTGTGTGCTTTATGTATTCGTATTACCCTTACAGCCTTATGCAAATTTATTCTAGCACATTGCAGGATTTTCACTCTTTGTTGGACACTAAAATTACAACTAGGCTAAATGCTACCAAAGAGAAGCACAGTTTTTTTGTGAAAGATACCATTTGGTGAGTGGGCCAAGCCCACTTTGTTGAAGAAGTGACCTTAAAGCTGTGCTGTGAGGGATGGCAGGAGGCCAGAGAGTGGGAGTCAGCAGAGGTCACCCAGGAGACCCAAGGACATATTTAAAGGACCATAACAAGGCATATGTGGCAGGAGCACAGCTGGACAGGTCAGAGATGAGACTGTGAGGAGCAGGGACCTGAGTGTGCGGAGTGCTCTCCTTTACATCATAAAGGCAATGGGACTGGACAATTGGTTGCAGTAAGCCTCCTCTGCATTTTTAATAATATATATAATTTACAATTATGGTTCCAGGCTTCTTGTTTGTCATATAGTTTCATTTTGCCAGATCCCCCCACCCACGCTAATGTTTAAAATCCAAAAAATTGCTGGGCAGGATAATCCTGATTACAGGGTAATCACCTGTAATCCCAGTGACTCTGAGGCTGAGGCAAGAGGATCACAAGTTCAACCAGCCTCCATAACTTAACAAGTCCCTAAGCAACTTAGGAAGACCCTGTATCAAAATTTTAAAAAAGAGCTGGGGATGTAGCTTAGCAGTAAAGTACCCCTGGGTTAAATCCCCAGTACCAAAATAAAATAAAATGCAAATACATTTAAAAATTAAAGTTGTTTTCACATTTCCCTGTAGGAATAAAATGGAAGGAGAGTCAAACAGATTTGAGATTCATACTCCAGTTTTTGACAAGAAGAACAAAAAGTACTTTGCATATAAGGAAAGACCCCAGAAACATGCCCATGAAAGTTTCAGAATCTCCTCTCTGGAAGGTGACCAGCTTCAAATAACTAAGAGTAAGAAGAAAAAAGATTTCCAGCTTCTAATTTCTTCTCCTTTGAAAAAACCAGAAATCTGTGATCAGACTGAAAAGGCTACTTCTACAAACAAGAAGAAGAAAAAGAGGAGAAAGAGTGCTCTGGGGGTAGACCCGGAAACAGGGGTTGCTTATGTCCTCGTGGATAAAGAAAACATTGAGAACACGCCCAAGAACTTGGGGAGAGACGTGGATGTCGTCTATGTAGATATCAGCAGAGAGCAAAACTCAGCAGAAGGGTGTGTGGTGGGTGAGCACACGGCCACTGAGTCTCCTAAAGGTGGGCCAGAGGAGCCGTGGAGCGGAGCCAGGGGGAGAAAGAGTCGGAGCCAGCCGGGGGGAGTTGCAGCACCCCAGGGCCCTCAAGGGAGCATTGTCCTGCCCCAGCCGGAGTCACGGGCGCAGCCACCCTTGTTTTCTCTGAGCCTTGAAGGGGAAATCTCAGAACCACCAATGTCCACTGGTAAAAAGAAGTCTAAGAAAAAAAAGAGGAAAAGGTCCAGCGTGCAGGAGTGGGAAGCCTCAGCGGAGCCTGGGGATCTAGCTCACCATCCCTCTGAAGAACCTCAGATGGCCATTGAAGCAGAGGCTGGAGAAGGCAGTGACACACTAAAGAGGGTGAGAAGGTCCAGTGCTGTGAAGAAGGCCAAGAGGAGGAGACATGTCTCCGCGGAAAGCCCTGTGGAGTCTGGTGGTTCTTCAGCACTGGATGAAAACTCTGGGAACACGCGCTCTGGTTCACTGGAGGGCGAAAGCACCATGATGGAAGAAAGGGTAACAGTCCGGTCCCTAGAGGGGAGAGCCCAGGCCGCGCAGGGGGAGAAGCAGGTGCCAGAGGCGCAGAGGTAGGTGAGAGTGGCTGCCTTGTGCTGTGTGCGTGAGGCCTCTTCCTTCAGCACAGGGTAGTAAGTGGCAGGTGTCACAGGCGCTTTCACATGCAGAATAATGCACATATTTAGTTGAGCACACTTGGCAGGTGGCTTAATATTTTCATGTCTAAAGTAAAGCAGTTAAACTAGATTTCAGTAAGAGCTATTTTGAATCCTAAAACTCTATAAGTTGAAAAGATACTTAAGATCCCAAAATGCATCCATAAAAAGGAAGAAGGATTTGATATGTTATACTTCACATTCTATAGAACAGCCAAAAAAAAAAAATCTTGGTTTAATATTGTCACTACATGTTAATTTAGTGAAACCATTATTTATGTAAATACCATTTAAGTATGCTATATGATGGATGAAGATAAAGAGGTGTTTTAAAGACCACTTTATCTCATAGTCCCTCAGGACCTATTTTCTCCCCATTTTAACTCAGTGACTTTCTCACTCCTGTTCTGGCTTAAAATATTTCCACATGAAAGTTATGAGGAGGGCATGTCAGGTGGCGTTGATGAGAGTCATGGGCCCACTCGTGTCCTCTGTCCTCGTGTGAGGAAAGTTTCCACACAGACCCACCCTACCCTTTTCCCAAACTGATACCCAGATCAGTTTCCAGACCACTGATTGCGAGGCAGGAGTGTGCCGGAGTGTGGCTCTTAGCTCACCTCAGTTGTGAGTTTCTGGAAGCTGTTCTCCCTTCCCTCTGGTGGTGCCAGTCTGAGAGGGTCGCTGATGTGACCAAGCATACTAAGGGCAGATGGTTTGGGGAGGACTTAGGGTACCTATATAGAAAATAAATCAGAGGAGAAAATGATGCCCTAACTATCTGGAGTAAAAACAACTCTGACTATGCCAACCGGGATCACTGACCTAACCATTTGATAACATCGTGTTATAAAGCTCAGCTCGTTGGGAGGGTCTGGAAGAACTGTTTTTTCAATTCTGATTCTTAGTGGAAGTAAAAGAGGGTTTTGCTGATGAGAGTTAATATCTAAAATCAAAAAAAGATGAGAAATTGTAGTATAAACAGTATTTGGTAGAATTAGGGCTTCACATTACTTCCTAGGCCACCTTGGACACATATCCATGTAAATCAAGTTACTTTGAGAATCATGAGCTGAATCAACTCCAAGGTCCTGTCTAATTTGAACTCTGGTAGACTGAGGGTCATTTAGGAAAGCAGTTGACTGGCCGTCAGGGCAAGCAGTAGTCAGTGTTTAACCCGGTTTCCCTCTTAGGTTAAACCCTGCAGTTGAGGAAGAGCATGGCTTGGCATTGCCTGGGGATTCCACGGCAAGATGTTTATCTGAAGAGCAGAGAGAGTCTGGTGACTCAGATGTGGACTTGGATTCCGCTGTGAGGCAGCTCCAGGAGTTCATTCCTGACATAAAGGACAGGGCTGCCACTACCATCAAGCGGATGTACCGTGACGACTTGGGACGGTTTAAAGAATTTAAAGCTCAGGGTGAGGTTGTGGCCCCTAGTGGAGGTTGGATTTTCCTGGGTGGTGTCGTGAGTGATTCAGGTTGACAGATTCACAGAAAAAACATCCTTTAGCCCCTTGGGCTCTCTCCTCCCAGAGTTGTTTTCTGAGCCGTGGAATGTTGAAATGAAGGGCCTGCGTTTTCCTCCTTGCCCCACTTCTAGTGTAGGACACAAGGGAGATAACAAAATTAAAATATTGGCAGCTTAATTCAACTGAGATGAGGTGTAATTTCTTTCCCTAAAATGGTAATTTGAGGATGAGCTGGTTGTGGTGGGCATGGACTCCAGCAGGCAGAACCTGCTCTCCTTGGTTCAGTGCTTGGTGTAGGCTGTGTTCTGCAAATGAGCACTATTTCCTGCATGTCTACCAGGGGAGGCCCAATAGCACTGATCAGTGAAGAAAGTAAAACAAGTTTATCAGTTTGAAGAGACATAGAAATAGACAAACTACATGTGCACACCATTTATAGAGTAGTTTCTAAGGATCCTTTTTATTGATTTTGATCCTTTTTATTGACATTATCTTAAAATTTTTTAAAAATATTTTTTTAGTTATACATGGACATGTGTGGTGCTGAGGATCGAACCCAGGGTCTCTCACGTGTGAGGCAAGCGCTGTACCACTGAGCCACAACCCCAGTCCCATCTTGAAATTTTTTGAGTTACGTATTTCATAAAAAGTATTCTTAGACTGAGTGCAATTATACAGACCTTATTCCCAGTGACTTGGGAGGCTGAGGCAGAAGGATTGCAATCTCAAAGCCAGCCTCAGCAACTTAGCAAGGCCCTAAGCAATTTAGTGAGACCGTGTCTCAAAATATAAAGGGTGGGGATATGGCTCAGTGGTAAAGTGCCCCTGGGTTCAATCCCTGGTACCAAAGAAAAGTATTTTTAGAATAAATTTGAGAACAAAAAGATAATCTTTGGATTTCCAGCACATAAAAAAGGAAGAAAAGAAAGAAAGACAAATATACTATGTAGTAGTCAATGAGTGCTTTGCTTGGTGACCAGGAAGAGGGTGTGATGTCTGCTGCCCTTCCCCAGAGTGCATGCACTGGACACCTCTGACACTTTCCTGCCGGCCTAGGCAGAGCACCACCCTCCATGTGGGGAGGGAAGGGACTTTTTTAAACTTTTCACTTAATGCTATCTGGATTTTTAATGAATATATGTTATTTTTAGAAGATTGATGAAGTAGGAAAGTTGACTGGGATGAGCAGGGAGGACCTTGGAGAAAATCTGAAGGAAGGGAGGGGTTCTTAAGGTGGGGTCTGGGATGAAGGGCAAGGGCACCAGCCCAGCTGCTCCTCACAGGTGGGCCTGGTGCTCTAAGAGCCAGGGGTTTGCTTTTGTTCTTACTGACAAAACCTACTCTCTCTCCCTTTCCCCTCGTCAATCCTAGGTATTGCTATTAGATTTGGCAAATTTTCTGCAAAGGAAAATAAGCAGATAGAGAAAAATGTGCAAGAATTTCTGTCTCTGACAGGAATTGAAAATGCAGACAAGCTGCTATACACAGACAGATACCCAGAGGAGAAGTCTGCCATTACTGAATTGAAAAGAAAGCATGCGTTTAGGGTGCACATTGGTGAGTTCAGAAGTGCTTACCCTGACCCTCCAGTTTTCCCGTCCCCTGCCTGCAGTACGCGTTAATTGCTCCTGTGGTGAATAGCATTCTTACCGCCAGTCAGAACTTTTGGGGATTTGGAACGTGTCCATGTCTCCCAGCTGCAGTGCTTTTATGAATTTTGTGAAAAATAAAGTGAAACCAGGAACAGTGGCAGATGCCTGTAATCCCAACAATCCTGGAGGCTGAGGCTGGAGGATCATAAGTTTGAGACCTTCCTCAGCAACTTAGTCCATAAGCAATTTAGTGAGACCCTGTCTCAAAATAAAAAGGGCTAGGGATGTGGCTCTGTGGTAAAGTGCCTCTGGGTTCAATCTATGGTATCAAAAAAAAAAAAAATTAAGTGATCACTTTTGGTCTTTCCTACTTGGCAATATTTGTGGCTTTTGGTGTCTTGTCCCATTCTTGTTACTCTGCATGTGCTGCACAAAGCCCAAAGCCCATGCCTACATGCACCTTGGTCTCCTGCAGTTCTAGAGGTGGGCGGTGTGTTTGGGGCTGTGGGAGGTTAGGAGGCTATGCAGTAAAGGAGCCAAGGGAAGAAAATCTGTCTGGAGGGTCGGGGTCATGTCTTCTAGAGAGGGAAAGTGAGAAAAATGTAGTTTCATCTTATGGAGAACTGTTGATGTGTGTCCCGTGCCTTAGGGTGTTTCTTTTTTTAATTCAAATGATGTTAAAAATACTTTGCCTTCTATGGGTCTTTTCCGTGAACTGAGTAGACCAGAATCTGGAGTCTCCAGTGCTTTAGCATCCAGTTTGCAAAGCTCTCCAGGGCAGCAATGATGGCAGGCGTCTGCTCCCCAGGCCAGCTCTGCAGGACCAGCACGGGGCTGAGGATAGTTAGTGCAGCTACAGAGGGAGGCTGTCCTGGGTCCCTGCTGCAGTTGTGACTATTTCACTCCAGCCTTTTCAGGCCCCTCTGATTCTTGTTTCTTCTGACTGTAGGTAAGGGCATTGCTCGGCCCTGGAAACTCGTATACTATCGAGCAAAGAAGATGTTCGATGTCAATAATTACAAAGGCAGGTAAGAAAAATGTCTTAATTCAAGCCAGAACTTTTTTCTCTAGAGAAAAAGTTCTTTGCTGACATTACAAGTCAAATATCCTTAGCACTAGATGGAAAACAAAAGTCACGAGGAACTTTACATATGACACTGGATTGGATATTTTTCAATTTGTCTTCAAGGTCCTTTAAGTTTCCACCTCTTTAATAACCCTTTTGTAACCTTTGCCTGATTCTCGGCATTCCTTTGTGTTTGGTTTAGCACTCAACAAGCCCTTCCTCTCTCACGCCACCCCTGCTCTCTCCTCTGTGTCATAAGTGCCTGTGGACTTCAGCGCTCCCCACATGATGCACCCGCCTGCCTTTTAGCACAATTCTTTGGATTTGAAGGTGGAAGTAAAAATGAACATTAGATCATTTATATGCAATTCTGGGGTTTCTACATAGAGCGCTTAATGTGGTTCTTACTCTCAACTTTCGGTGAGGAAAGTTTCCACATGCAGACCCACCCTACCCTTTTCCCAAACCCCAAGATTAGACAGTGTGAGTAGAGCTTTAGGAAAATTCACTGAAGACGGTGTCTTAAATGGCACTTAAAAGCATGCCTTTGGCAAGTCTGTGGTGGCAGCAAGGGTAACCTGTTTTTGCTTGCAACATAAGTGCGAGAATAAACTTTGGAATAGTAATATTCTTGTTATTGTAATGATTTAAGAAGTTAATTTGTTTGTGCCACATGATTTGTGTTGGGGTGGTCACTACCTTAGAGTATTTCTTTAACTGAAGGGTTCCTCACTGAAAGGAACCAGGAAGTCAAAGACCAAGGCTTTAGGCTTAGAATTTAGGCTCAGGTGTTCAAAGTCAGCACATCTCTTTCCCTGTTGTACACTTATCCTTCCTAGTTCCCTTGTGCTGTTGCTGCAAGCATCTTTAAGTTGCTGTTTTATCTCAGGAAGACCCTGACTTCCTTGAGGGGGAAGTACTAGGAGGTTTTGTTTCATACCATTATTCTTTTTTTGTGTGTGTACTGGGGATTGAACTCTGGTGCCTTTGACCACAAAGCCACATCCCCAGTCCTATCTTGTATTTTATTTAGAAACAGGGTCTCACTGAGTTGCTTAGTACCTCGCTTTTGCTGAGGCTGGCTTTGAACTACTGATCCTCTTGCCTCAACCTCCTGAGCCACTGGGCTTATAGGTATGCATCACCACACCCAGTACACCATTCTTCTTCTTCTTTTTTTTTTTTTAATGTATTTTTTTTTTAGTTGTAGTTGGACACAGTACCTCTATTTTTGTTTGTTTATTTTTACGTGACACTGAGGATCTAACCCAAGGCCCTTCGCGTGCAAGGCGCAACCCCAGCCCCACCATTATTCTTAATAATGAAGAGTGTAGAGTCCCTGTAGAGTCCCAGTGGTCTGCATTGACAATGACTTTCTGAAAGCCTTAGGATGTTATTGTGCTGAAGGAGTTCTGGATTGCTATTATCAAGAATTAGTATTTTCCTAGAACTTCTTTTATTTGCCTAAGCAGTAACATAATCTGGGTTCCTCTACCCATACTGAGGGATAGGAATCTTAGTCTATTAAAATGATTGCTTTATTTCACTTAAAATATTTAAGGTATTTCAATCTCAATGTACTTTTAATTTTATAGTGCTTTTTTTGGTAATTGTTTTTTTCGTGGGGTTGGTACATTTTAAATCTTTAAAAAGATACATATTTGTGTTCAGCCATTGGCTTCATGTTTACTGAATATCTGTTGTTTCTCAGGCATTGTGGATACCATAGAGGACATGACCAGCAGGGTCCTTGTCCTTGTAGAACTTCCATTCCAGAGCTGGGCCATCCACAACATGACCACCAGCTTTGGGTGGCTATTGGACACTTGAAACCTAGTGGGTCCATATTGTGGTGTGCTGCAAGAGTCAAGGAAACACTGGCTGTGGGAGGCCGGATATGAAGGGAAGAATGTAAAATAGCTCAGTGTTTTTTGATACGAATTACATAATGAAATGATAGCATTCTTCATGGGGTTAAAGAGAATGTATTCTTCAGTTAATTTCATTAATACTCCATGAAAGTGAATCCCTGTGAGGCTAACATATTTCTGTCAGGCAGCCATGGTCTAGAGGAAGCCACACCAGCAAGCGAGAGCCCGTGATGTGTAATTGCATGTCATGACCAGAGCTGGGGAGGGGACCAAGGCAGCCCTCTCTGAGGGGCACCTTTGTGGGTCAGCGGACTGCCTCCACCACAGGTACAGAGGCTGGGAGGTGAAAATGGACAGAGAAGTTATTTGCTCTGCTGAGATCCTGAGATGTAGGGATAGGAGCGGGGATCGTCAGGCCTGGATGTGGGCTTCTGGCGCCCTGCATTTGGCTCTTTCCATGCTGGCAGCATGCTGCAGTGATTACCATTTTTAGGAACATTCTTCTTCTCTCAGGTATAGCCAAGGAGATACGGAGAAGTTGAAGGCATACCATTCCCTCCACGGGAACGACTGGAAAAAGATTGGAGCCATGGTGGCCCGAAGCAGCCTCTCGGTTGCCCTGAAGTTCTCCCAGATCAGCAGTCGTAAGTGACTCATTTCATGGTGAAGGAGCCACAACTGAGCCAGCTCCCAGAGGTTGCTGCTGGCTGGCCTCTAAGAGCACTCTTTATTTTAGGGTCATTTTCTCTGCTCATTCATTTCACTTTTTTATGCATTCAGTGAACCTGTGCTACCTTTACTACACTGGTTTTGACTACATCTGAGTTTAGTGAGAATATAACTTTCACAGAGGCTGGATGGGGAGCTGGGTGGAGGAGCCTGTGGGAGGGAAGCGCGCGCTCGGTGGCCTGTTGGCAGGGAGGAAAAGCACTGCTGTCTCCTGTCAGTTTTACTCTTCATTTAGAGAAAGTTCCTTTAGTTATGTTCTTCCCGTTAAAACATCCCAGATTGCTCTGAGAAAGCGGGCCTCAGGTGGGGTGTATTGAACACAGAGTCCGTGTTCTGGCCACTCAAGTAGTGTGATGCAGCCAGTCCTTTCAGTTTCCAAGAAGAAAAGCAAAAATCTGGAATTTTTAAAATATTTTGGGCCAGGTGCGGTGGCCACGCCCGTAGTCCCAGCAGCTCAGGAGGCTGAGGCAGGAGGATCACAAGTTCAAAGCCAGCCTCAGCAATGGTGAGGCGCTAAGCAACTCAGTGAGACTCTGTCTCTAAATAAAATACAAAATAGGGCTGGGGATGTTGCTCAGTGGTTGGGTTCCCCTGAGTTCAGTCCCCGGTACCAAAAAAAATTTTTTTGTGAATTCTAAGTATCTTTTTTTCTCCCTTTGGAAATCTCTTTATTTCCAAATATTTATCCAAATTATTATTGTGGAGCAGGAGGGGGTAACACTGTGGGAGCCAAACTGAAGCCCTGTGCAGGCTGTGGGCTGATGCTAACTCTAATGCTCTGACACCTGCCTATCCACAGGGAATAAGCTCCTCTGATGCTTCTTGACATCTGCACAGGAGGATGGCCTTAGGGCGACTCTGGGACCTCTTGTCAAGTGCTGGGTGGGCATCACAGTGACCACCAATATCACAGGAGGAGCTGAGGAGGGAGGTGTGTGCATGACAAGAGAGTCGTTGGACTCTTTCCTAGCACATGCTTGGGAGCCTCACAGTGTGGCGTAGTAGATGTTGCTCTTGGAAACAGGAAGAACAACTTCATTGAAGTTGAATGAAATCGTTGTTTAAAGAAAGGACTTTTTTCCCAGCACTGGGGCAGAACCCAGGGCCTTATGCACACTGCAAGTTCTGTACCACTGAGCTACACTGGCAGCCTGGGATGTCTGTTTAATAATTTCTGGCTTTGGTTCTGAAAAAGAATCATGGCCAAATACTAAAGCTTAATAATTTTATTTAAATTAGCATGTAATTTGGGCTGGGATTGTGGCTCAGTGGTAGAGTGCCACAGGTAGAGTGCTTGCCTAGCACGTGTGGGGGCCCTGGGTTCGATCCTCAGTACCACATAAAAATAAATAAATAAAGGTATTGTGTCCAATTACAACTAAAACTTAAAAAAAAAAATTGGCATGTAATTTGATTTTTTTTTAATACTTTCTTAGTTGCTGATAGGCCTTTATTTCATTTATTTACTATGTGGTGCTGAGAATTGAACCCAGTGCCTCCCACATTCTAGGCAAGTGCTCTACCACTGAGCCACAACCCCAGCCCCAATTTGATGGTTTTAAGTTTGTAATTTGATGTCCATTATCTTCTGACAAGTGCCTGACTTTTTCATGTTTTGGGTTGTTTTTGAAAGCACGTAGATTAGCAGCTATAAGACCATCCTTTTATGTCTACAGAAAGAAATCATGGTGCTTGGAATAAGACGGAAACACAGAGGCTCATCAAGGCTGTTGAAGAGGTGATTTTAAAGAAAATGTCTCCCCAGGAGATGGAAGAGATGGATTCACAGCTCCAAGAGAATCCTGAAGGTCGCCTGTCAATCGTCCGGGAAAAACTCTACAAGGGCATATCCTGGGTGGAAGTGGAAGCTAAAGTGGAAACCAGAAATTGGATGCAGTGCAAAAGTAAGTGGTAAGTTTACAACTTCTAATACAAACTTCAACAAGACTCTCCTGTGTTGCTCACTGGTTTAGGGCGGAGAGGTGACGCTGCTAAGAACGCCCATGGACACTCATAGGTCAGAAGTGAACTTCTGCGGCCCACTGCCCCAACTGCTCCAGTGTCAACATCTGAATTAAATGAGCACCTGATTTGCCCTGACTCAAAGATAGGTGCAAGCTGCTGGCTTGAGGAGTGTTCCATGCTGGAACAAATGGCTTCTTTACCCAG